GAAAAGCATTATGCTGAAATTATATCTTTGAAAGTTTATGGCACCAAAGAGACATTTGCATATAAAATCAGTAACTGAAGCATTTTTCTATGCTATGTTTAAGCTACTTTATACTACTATTATATTCCTTAAAATACTTCAAGATTATTAATTCATAGAGTCATAGATTTTGGGGGGTATAGGGAGTTGAACTCTGCCCTATTTTGTATTTTATTTAGAGACAGGGTCTCACTGAGTTGCTTAGTGCCTTGCTGAGGCCGGCTTTGAACTCACGATCCTCCTATCTCAGCCTCCCAAGCTGCTGGGATTTAACATGTGTGTCATTGCGCCCAGCTAGAGTCATAGATTTTTAAATTTTTAATATCACCTAGCCTAAGAACTTCATTTTTACAGAGGAGGAGATTTATAAAAGATCTGGAGAAGCTGGAATAATTTCCCCATGACCTTGTAGTAAATTAGCTTTCCTATTATCAAGTCCAATACTTATAACATTATATCACCATAATGCCTTCATTTCTCTATATTTTCTTAAGGTGTAAAGTAGGAACTATAATATATTTAAATCCTGGATCCCCAAGAAAAAAGTTTAGAAGTCCCCATTTGTCTACTGGGGAAATTCATCTAGACATATTCTCAAGTGAATAACTACTTAATATTTACCCTAAATGTTACTGGTCAAGTATAACTTCAGAATAAATAGTCTCCTAATGAAAGAGGAGCAGAGTATTAATTGCCCTATTTACAATACAAAGGAATATTGGAAAGTACTTGAAACAATAACATGTTTGTACACTGATTTATGATTTATAATGTAGTTTCACATATTATCTTAGCTGATAAGTGCTCAACCAAGCTTAAAAATGTACTTTATATGGGCATAATTTTAAACCATTAAACTAAAGATGGCCATTAAAGTGAATGGGTTTTTTTTTTTTGGAGACTTTTGTTTCTGGTTTTAAATAATGATTATAATTAGATTCTATGAAAAGGAATTCAGGAATGCCTTAGTTGGGTGATTCTGACTACAGGCTTTAATTAATGTCAGCCTGGATCTAAGGTCATTCAAAGGCTTGACTGGGGCTGGGAGATTTGCTTCTAGACAGCTTACTCAGCTAGCCCTTGAACATGGCATCATTTCCTTCCTGCACACTGTCAAGAGTCCTTTAGTTCCTAGCCATATAGACTTTTGGGCTACTTGAGCATCCTTGTAACATGTCAGCTGCCTCCCCCAAGTTCAGGAAGTTCGAAAAACATAAACACCAAAATAGCCAGCACTCAACCAAGATACAAAACATTTCCATCATCCAAACAGTTACCTCATGTACCTTTGCCATCGAGCCTTCCCTTCACTCCTGGGCTAAGGTAATAATGATCAGCTTTCTATTACTGTTTGTATTTCATAGAACTTCATATAAAGGGAATCGTATAGTATGTAGCTTTTGTGTGATGCCTTGTGATGCCTCTTTCAATCAGCACGTTTTTGAAATTTGTTTCAGTTACTATATGTATCAGTAGACAATTTTTTTATTGCTAAATAGTATTTTTCATTATGTCACTATACTACCAAAATGTTCTTAATGATTATGAACTGAACTTGATCAATTAAAAAATTGTGGACATTTGTTTTTTTCTCTTGTTATGTAAGTACCTACATGGTATCCTCAATTTTGCTTCTTGGCCTGAAAAGACACTTTACAGAAAAATGTTGGCTGACCCTTGAGTAACAGCATATTCATGATCTGCAAACCTATAATAATTGCAGACTCTTAAACCCCACCCTAGAATATATAACTGATATGCATATAAATGTATGAGAAGCACTGGATTGCAACAGGAAAACAACACACACACACACATACACACACATACTGTGTGTGTGTGTGTGTGTGTATATATATATATATATATATATATATATATATTTGTGAGCATGTATGTGTCAATGTGTACATGTGTATGTGGCTATGTAGTAACAAGCATAACACTCATTCATGCCTGACTTTCAGAAAATTATTCTTCAAATCATTAAAAAAAACTCCAAAAAATGGAGAAACATATATGTTGAAAATTTTTACTTTAAAATTATTTTCTTTAAATATAAAATATTCTTTATTTTTAGACCATAAAATTATTTTTAAAAATTCCTTGTTAAAGCATTTTCAAAAAAGAGCAAATGTAGCACAAATAAAATCTGTTCTGTCTTCTGTACAAGGATGTACCAGTGATTACCAGAGATTAACAGATGATCATCTTCATGCATGTGATCAACAAGACCAAAAGGTCACCAGGGTTTTACTTTACCATATGCTACAAAATCCATGTTGCAAACCTACTTAGCATGTGCTTTCAATATTATACACACTTTTTAATTCACAAATTAAAAGAACAAATTATTCACTTGAATTTCTATTAAGATTTGCTCAATGGATATCTGAAACATGGCTTTTTCTTTTCTCTTTTTAAAGAAAAAATATAAAAAAGACATTTCAAAATCAGAGAGAAAACTAATTTATATTAGAATTGTTTAAAAACTTCTATATGCAGTGACAAAATAGCATTTTATTACTAATTTCAGAGAGCTGTTCAGTTTGGGATTATCTCATATAACTGATATAACCATTTCAGGTTTCCTACACAGAATTTGAAATTAAGTTTTATTATATATTTGTAACCATTCTTTTAGATAAAAAGTTTTATGTTTTCCTGATTCAATTCTGTCAATTCTAAGTTGCTAGTTGAGAATATTAAAAAATATTCAAAATTAAGAAAATTTAAATTTCTTGTCCATATTTATTTAATCAATGGTAGCTTTAAAATATCAGTTTGTTCTTTCAAACAACCTTTTCCAGAATTTCTTGATTTGCTTTGTTTCTTTTTGCACACATGTTAGTTCTAAATATATATCTGAACTCTAAATGACTTCTGTTCATTTTAATAGTCCATAACAAACTATTAAATCTTCCTCACAACAAGCAACAATGTACCGAAACACTTTCTCTATATTTTGATTCTTTAATGAAAACAATACATAAGCACTAAAAAAAAATAACTTAAAAACAATCATTCCTTCAGTAACATTGTGTTCTCCATTCATATGATAAAATGAAGTAATAGTCAGAAATTGTTGTAGGAGTTGTTAAAAGATCAGGATTTTTCCAGGATCATTTCATTTTATTGAAAATGTGTGAGTATTTTGCTTAGAGCAGATTATTTGGTCTCTTTAAATCTATCAGAGATTCACCTGAATTAGACCTACTTTGGAATTCAACAGTTGTTTCAATGGTATTGTTAGAAAATCTTATCAGAATAAAACAAATAACATGAAAATATATCCTTTTTGTTAGTATTTGAGATCCTTCTAATAAGTGTTATTTATTTTTAAGATAGAGTTGAATTTGTGAAAAACATAAAATGATAAATCATATTCTATAAGATCTAGTTTTAAAACATAATAATAATAATTATCATTATTATTATTAATTTTAGGAAAAATACAATTAAAATAGAGGGACAAGATTCAAAATTGTTAAGCATTTTGGTGAAATAGAGAAAAAAAATTTTAAATTATATAAAAAAATCATTAGAAATGTTAAGAAGGCACTCTTAAAATTCTAGGTTTAAATATAGGCAATTGGAGCACCTATACATCATAATGTAATAAGCTCTGATTTTAAAAAGTCAACAAAATCATTTCACTTTGAGAAAAGCCTTTTCAAATTTGTAAGGTAAAAATGGAGAAAAATAGAAATTATTAATGATGCATGACCCAGAAAATTAGTTTAGAGTAAAAGCCAATTGCAATTATGGAATCTGCATCTGTTCATTACAACTTTGTCAGTTTTCCAGAACATGAGTCTAGGCAGTTTTTACAAATGACGTAAATGGAAATGTGTTTAGAAACGGCTAAACAATGTGTGCAACATGTAAAAAATGCGATGTTACAGCTAAAAAGGAATTTGCTCTTCTTCACATTACTATTTATATAGACTCCTCTTGCTTCTATTTCTATGGACATTTTTCTTACTCCCTATAATTTTGTCATTAAGAGACTGACTCAACATTCTTTGAATGTTTGAAATTTCTACTACTTTTTCTAACAAATTATGAAACATCTACTAAGGTGTATAGAATGGCTTACAAAGAATTTAAATGTTTCAAAAAATTGAACTAAATTTGCCTGATAACTATATGACATTTAGGTAAGTAATCTTAAGGCTATTTCTAATCCATGGGTTCAGCTTTTTGAGAAATCAATGAATTTCCTAAGACAGGTTATATTTAGCTGTGAAGAAGCTGTCCATATTAATAAGAAAAAAAATCTCATTTTGGCTGTATGAAGGACATACAAAATGAAAAAAAATGATACAAAACAATAACAAAGAAATCAGCCTACAGAGAATCAAGCATCTTTTTTAATGATCAGATAAGCATTAACCAAAAAGTATTCCATTTGAAACTGAGAAAAAATGGGCTTTATCATTAAATAAGTTTAAGAAATGCTGGGTATTCTTTCACCTCCATGAGATTCAAAGTGTAGAATTAATATCCTAAAGGTGTACAGTTAATATCTTAAAGGCCTTGCAAACAAAGCACAGGAAAGAAACCAATCTGATGTTTGTACTTGAAATTCCAACTCTTTGAAAATTTCAACACATATGTTTTCCCACAGAAGACAATTTGGAAATGTTTTGATAAAGAAAATGTTCAGGCAGTAAAATGTTAAGAGAAAAATTGGCTCTCCAGATGAAAAATGACTAAGTTTAAAAATTATCTAAAAGAACTGACGCACAACCCATGAGCCTGGAGGTCCCACGGATCTGCTTCTTGCTTCAACAGTGTTTGAATGGAACAGAGCCTGGGACTCCCTTTTCTTCCAGCTTCCAACCGCCTTCCAATCTGATCTGCATTTGCAATCTCCAGGACCATCTGCTCGCCCAGGGCCTGCTTTCAGGACCAGCCAATTCCGTTTTTTGTGGTTAGCTCCTTCTTGACGACCAACCATGACCTCCCAGATTTGTCAGAATTATTCCACCTAGGTGGAGGCTGCCGTCCACCGCCTGGTTAATTTGCATCTGCGCACCTCCTACACCTACCTCTCTTTGGGCTACTATTCCGACCCTGACAATGTGGCTCTGGAGGGCGTGGGCCACTTCTTCCGCGAGTTGGCTGAGGAAAAGCACGAGGCCTCTGAGCGTCTCCTGAAGATGCAAAACCAGCGCAGCGGCCGCGCCCTCTTCCAGGACGTGCAGAAACCTTCTCAAGATGAGTGGGGCAACACCCTGGACGCCATGGAAGCTGCCTTGGCTCTGGAGAAGAACCTGAACCAAGCCATTTTGGATCTTCATGCCTTGGGTTCTACCCGCACAGATCCACATCTCTGTGACTTTCTGGAGAACCACTTCCTTGATGAGGAGGTGAAGCTCATCAAGAAGATGGGGGACCACTTGACTAACCTCCACCGTCTGGCGGGCCCCCAGGCTGGCCTGGGCGAGTATCTTTCCAAAGACTCACCCTCAAGCATGACTACAGGCCCTGGAGTACAGTGGCCTTTGATGGGGCTTCTTTGCATCTCCTGGCATCGGGGCTTTGGCCTGAGCCTCTCCCTCTAACCCCTAGGCAGCTTTTTTAACCACCATGGAGCCCCTCCCAAGCCTTGGACCAAATAAAAATTAAAGCTTTTTGCAGGAAAAAAAAAAAAAAAAAAAGAACTGACACAAAAGAAATAAGAAATTGGGACCATATAGGGCTTTTATTCATCCAATAAAATTAGTACTATTTACTGAACACTCTAACTATGCCAAACATAATGCTAGGCACTGGGGTATACAACTTCAATTTTCTAGAAAGTTACTCCTAACACCTTACCCTTGTATTCCCTCTTCAAAAAGACAGAAGTCTAAAAGATACTTCTGTATATGAATAAGCTGCAAATTTCAACCCTAACTTGGTGTTAACCATGTTTCACAAGCATTAATAAAGGGACATAATAAGAAACAGGCTATAAAAACAAAACAAAATGAAACAAAAAATTAATCTAACCTAAACCAAACCGAATGCTGATTACATAATAAGTCCTCAAAATTGAAAAGAAATAGTGAATATCTGTCCAAGTTCAACGATGACAAAGTGAAGTTAGTGAATATATCTCCCAGCTGGGGGTGTAGTAGCTCAGTGGTAATGTGCTTCTCTAACATGATCAAGGTCCTGAGTTTCATCCCCAGCATTGCAAACCATCCCCAACCCAAACAAAATCTTGTTCTCAATAATGGGTATAAGATATAGGATAACCCAGAGATGAGATATACACAATCACATGACAATCTTTACTTTATGAAAATATGAGAAAAATAAATTTACAGAGCCTTATAGTATCTCCTCTTAAGATATTTAATAATTTCAAGGCAGAAAATAGTTTCTCCAACTTTACAGTGGAGCAACCTGACAGATCAAAAAGTAACTGGAAAAACTGAAATCACAAATTTTCAAATATGATACACTGAAAGAGATGTAATAGGGCTTCTCTAGTATTTTCCCCAAAATCCTCATCTGAAGGTAATCCTGAAGAAACACTAGACAAACTTCAAATCAGGGACACTTTATAAACTAACTGACCTGTAATGCTTTAAAAATGTCAAGGTCTTCAAAGACAAATTAATTCTGGAAAACAATTCCAGATTAAAGGACACTAAAGAGACAACTAACTGTAACATGATCATGTAATGATCCTGAACCAGAAAAATTGCTGCTTCTTTGCTATGAAGAAGCTTAGTGGGACAACTGACAAGATTTTTAAAAAAATTTTTTTAGTTGTAGATGGACAATACTTTTATTTTATTTATTTTATTTTATGTGGTGCTAAGTATCAAACCCAGTGCCTCACACGTGCTAGGTGAGCACTCTACACCTGAGCCACAACCCCAGCCACTGGCAAGATTTCAATGTCTAGAGTAAGTTTCTACAATGATGGAAGTGTTCAGTATCTATGCTCTCCAACAGAAGAGCCACTGGTCGGCTAAGTGCTTAAATTGTCATTAGTATGTTTACCTTATTTAATTTTAATTAATTTGAATTTAAATAGCCACATGCGACTATGCTAACAGACAGAATAGGTATACAGACTAGAAAACAGTACCATATCAATGTTCATTTCTTGATTTTGATAATTGTGTTTAGACTGAGTGAGAGAATGTCCTTATTTTTAGGATATGCATATTAGATTGTTAGAAGTTAAGGGTCATAATATATGTAACTTAAAATTTTTTAAATGTTTCAAATAAAGCAAATGTGGTAAGACTAATATTTATAGGATCTTGTTGAAATATATACAGAGTTCTTTGTATTACCTTTGTAACTTTTTGTAAGTCTACTGTTATTTCAAAGTAAAAGTTTTAAAAAGAAAAGAACAGCTTCATAAAATCAATTGCTTTTCTCACTAAAATTGGTAAATATAAAAATATTAATAAAGTTCTATTCATTGCTATATTTTTCACTTGTTTACTGAAATGTTGATACTCAAAAACAAATTCAATTTTTATAAAAAAGCAACTCCTTTATCACTCTATGAACAAAATGATCACTCTCTGACCAAAAGTGTATTATATGTAAAGTTATTTTTACCTTACGTAGTAAGCAGAGAAGGAGAAAGAACAGAGCTCAAATTTCTGCCTGAGTACTAAATACTTAAAAAATAGCAATGATATTTAAAAGTTCAGGAGAGCATAAAAAAATATTTTGGCATTTTACTCTCTTCCTGAGGAGATGGGATATATACTATCATCCCTACAGAATAAAGTGGAAAGCCCTAAACAGAATGAGATTTAGTGAGTTCACCCTAGGAAAACAATCCAGAAAAAATATTTGCCTATATGTGATCAAATAAATGTTAATGATAAAAAATAGAAGTTTAATATAAAACTTGGAAAATAAGATAAAGTACCTAGAATAATGTCAGATCAGATTTCTCTTAATCTACATACTACTTAATCCAGTATAATCACATACTACTTAATGCAGTAAAAATCAGGTTACCACCATCACTTATGAAACTATTCTGAGTTATGAATATGCTTTTCACTAAATCTAATGAATACATGTTAGTCCATAACTGCTTGATAATATATGATAATAGAGACAGCGCCTTTCTTTCTGAATTGTTCTCTTTCCCTGGCTTTAATATGCATACTTTCCTCTCTCCACACTGTTTCCAGTATACTTTGCATCCTCTTCTTCCTTTACTCATTTTAACTATTGAAATTTCGTCTGTTCTCATTATACACACTATCCTTGGGTGACCTCATCCCACATTCCTGGCCTCAAAAACCACTGTATTGTACATACAAAATGAATCAGAAGACTATCCCATTCTAAAACATTCCTGAGGTCCATACCCACAAATGGAGTTATGGACATGCCCAGCTGTATGCCTTTCAGGAACTTCTACCTCAAGTGAAAAACTAAACATTATCTCTGATCCCTATGGCTACTGCCTCCCTCAAAACTGATCTTCCTCTATTCACTCTTTTAATAAATGGCATCATCATTTGCTCAAGGCAAAAACCTAGAAGTTTTCATTAATTTTTCTTTCTCCATTTTAGAATAGATTCTTGTTATCTCTCGTAGTTATGTTCTATAAAGTTACTGTGAATACTGAATTGACAAATACTAGAACCACTATTCCTACAGTAAATACAGGGATAAGTTCCTATAAGCCTCCGGTCATACCATTTCCATCAACTGATCAATATACAACACATTTTTTTATGTGTGTTTCTTTTAAACATGTCTTATTTCATATAATTGTTGATATCTGAGCACTGAACTCACTGTTAATGGTACTATAACTCATACCTGAAGGAAGCTTATTTTATATATGCATTTCTTCTGCCAAGTTCACTATTTCTTGACCTGAATAGTTTATATTAAACCTTCACTTTCTACATTAATGCTACTTCTTTCAGAAGCCTCTGCTGTGTGATCACCTAGCACTCTGTATTTCTCCTATCTCTCTTAATACTTATCAAATTATTTATTGATTTCATCTTGTTCTCCATTGCAATGAATTTAGTTCCATAAGGGCAGAGATAATAATGTCCTTCCCCAGTGCTTTGCATATCCAAATGTTCATAGTACCTGTATAATGTTACATGAACAAATCAACAGTTTCCAAAATGTGTGCACTTCTCCCTGACTGCCATCACTGCATAAGCTCTGACTGTAATGATCTTGCCTTCTTTACTCCTCCACAAGTTCTAGATCCTATCTGCTCTCTGTCTCTTCTGTATTATCCAGTGCTCCCTCTCATTAGCCCATATACATGTTCTTTTATTTCCCTTCTTTAAAACCAGAAGGAAGGATGGAACTCACCCATAATTCCGTTTCTTCAGCTATTGCCTATTTTTTCTTTCTTTTTTTTTAAGCTTGTTGTTTTAATCATCAAACACTTAAGATCAAATAGTCCATCCTTTTCAACTAATTTTTTTTCAAGTTCAAGGACAAAAACATTAAACATTTGACAATGATTACCATTTTATCATTTGGTATTTGATTTTATCTATTTGGGAGTCAGCATTTATTGAATGTGTTTTCAAATTTTAATTAGTGATATGTAACCCCCTTTTTAACTTTATGTTTTTATTTTTTATTATTTATTTATTCTAATTTGTTATACATGATGGCAGAATGTAATTCATTTCATATTACACATATAGAGCACAATTTTTCAAGTCACTGATTGTACACAAAGTATTTTCACACCATTTGTGTCTTCATACATGTACTTAGGGTAATGATGTCTAACTCATTCCACCATCATTCCTACCCCTTGCCCCCTCCTTTCCCCTCCTCCCTTTTGCCTTATCTAAAGTTCCATTTTTTCCTTCTTTTTAAATCTTCTAAGAGATACCTTTACTTCATGTATTTAATTGCTAACTTCCTATTCTCTCTACAAACCACCTCTAATTGAGTATTCTCATCAATTCAATGAAACGATTTTTGACAAACTCACCAATAAGTTCGTGTTGTCAGATCCAATGGTCAATCTTATGTGTCTTCATCTTATCTGACCTCTCAGCAGTGTTATATACCATTGAACACTCTATTATTTCGGAAATAATCTCTTCTCATGTCTTCTATGATACTATATTCTTTTTGGTTTTCTTTCCTTGATGATATTTCTTGTCAGTCTTCTTTGCTGGTTTTCCTCTAATCACCTGGGAATGATGGAGTTCCAAGGCTAACAATACTAACAGAAAGTGTGATGTGGTTAATAAACACATTTCACACAAATCAGTAAATATAAAGCTTTCAGTCAAACGTGGCAAATAAATCATGTGCCTTTTCTCTTCTCTTTGAAGAAATAGCATGAAAATGATAAGGAACCATAAATATATAGATTCAGAAGAACAAGAAGAAAGAAGACATTAGCTGGAAAGAGATTTCAAATTTCTAGATGATACAAAGTTGATGCAGGTATAGTAATTGATTCAGTAGAACAGTGGAGGCCAGAATTTAACTTACTGTGGTGGGAAGATTTTGATTAGGAGGACATGATATGCCTCTGGAAACCCTGGAAAGCTCCAACATCAGAGGCATCATTTACCAGAAGGAAGATGTAACATGTTAAGGTGTTTGGGGTTCACCATTTGCTAACAAGACTATTCTTTTCTTTGCCTATAGAATGGTT